TCTATGGCGATCTTTTAGGCTGTCGCGAGCGGTGCTGTGTTTACGTGAGTCGTTTTCGGCACATTGCGCAGCTTTGCATGTGAGGTACTAAAAGACAGGAATACTCAGCAGACATACTCATTCTTATAAAAAGCTCATTACATCTCTTTCAAGTAATCATCAAATCACTCGATCCACCATATCACGATACCCTTCTGCAAGGACGAAAGCTTTGACCCTAGATTAGGTAAAAAATCGTCAGTTTTTACAGCTTTCAGCTAGTTTACCTCGTACCTTCTAGAACTTGAATAAGTTTTGAACTGAACTTTAAAGAAAATATAGGCTTGTTTGCCAAAAGGTTCCTTTCAGAGCACCCATTGAGAAAAAACGAAGCAGAATCCAATCAGTTGTTCAGCCACCAAAAGCGGGGTTGTCCCTCTTCTCCAACGTTGCGTTTTGTATGCCTGCTTCGTTCCTTTTTGGGCTTGTAGCATCCATTCTCATCAACCAATTCATTGACTGCTTTGAACTCACTTATTATGATGAAAGGAAGATGAATCAAATGATGGGAGGTTGTTCCAATGAATCATCACCGTGATCCCTAAACTGACATCTCAAAATTGTCCATACCTAGGGCTTGTCTACCTTCAGGGGGTGCATACAAATTCTTACTCGCAAACCATTGAGATATCGGAAACTAAGGTATGGCTCCGATCGTCTCGAGACCCTAATCATAGAGTCAGTAAGAGTCAGTCGCGGCCGTGAAGAAGCTTGCAGCAATCCCAATGCAGGCGAGAAGTGGAATCCGCCAATTCACGTCATGGAGACAAAGCGCGCAGCACTGGCATAATTTACAGATTGATCAACGCTTGGCAAGTTTCGTACTCAAAAAATGTTATCGTAAATCACGCCGTCTACACGTCGTAAAGAGCTCTCCATTTGCTGGACTACAAGGCAATGAATGCGCGTTGTTTATTGCTAGCTGTTGCTTTGTAAATGACCACTTAGCGCGCTTCTGCATCCTTTAAAAGAACTGTTCCGTATCTGTATGGGGTTTTCAGCTGAGATGTTCATCTTCTAACATCACTCCCTGCAGTTCACAGCCATGTCCTTTTTCAGACTTAGACCCTCTTGTTTCTGAGGTTGACGCACGCGAACTTGTGCAATCTATTTCGCAACGCCTATTTGAAAGGCACCCAGACCTGTAGCATGTCACGGAAACGTCATGTGAGTACCTCCACTCACTGTATCGTGTTCATGGTAAGGAAAAAAGCAATGATTTAGTACCAGCTGTCCCAGTGATGTAAGACAATTGGCAAACAGACCAACTGAGCTAGCGAATGCACGTCTCGACCACGAACAGCGTGTTGTAACAAAACCACAGGGCTTTGGACAACTGCTAGTAATGACGAGCACGGGACTAAGAAAATAATGGTTTTAGAATAGCAACGCAACCGAGAATGCAAGCAAATAACGTACTACCACGGAAAATGTGCGAGAACTCCACGAGCAAGGCGAAAACACATTCGTATAGCCCTAGCACCGTGACCGCCTACAACGCACTGCCGCAGAATATCCGCGAGCTGAGCCTTCCACAATTCAAACGCGAGTTGCGTAGTTATATCCCGCAGCGGCAGATCAATAGCGGGTAGCGACATCTACTTCAAATAGCTTACGCGAATGTGAGAGTGCGTTCTGAGTGTGTGTGCCTGCGTGTGTACGTGTTTGCGCGGGCCCCCGACCTAGTGTTTTATTTCCATGACACGGGCTCTGTAATAGCCACATTCTGAACGGAGTGAGCTTATGACGTGTAGTAAATAAATAAATAGCATAAATCACCACGCAGAGCACCTACGCCATTTTGCGACGACCAGAAGCACAGGCGAGTGACGCTGTGCGCTGTAGGGGAAACTCGGACACGGCCAGTCTCGCGGCGACTCGGGTGCCATAAACAAACGTTCCATTGGTATCATGTGATGCTTGCCTCAATATCTTCAGATGTTGACCTCCCAACCAAGTAAGGAACAATTTTCAGGAGTACATCATAGGTAGGCCTAATAACTTCGGCAGAAGCACATTGGGCTGCCAACTTTCGGTAAAGAACGGATCCTTGGTCTCCTCTGCATAACTTGTTGACCCAGTCGCAAGAATCAGTGAAACCCCATACCACCAGCAGTCTGGCGAATGGCAGCCGTCGCTTCGGCCTGCCCGTTGACTTCCTAGCATGCACATAAATGCAGAGCGCACCCATTGGACTGCATTTGGCCATGGCCCTGCAAACTCGTGCTCATGTGCCGTCACGCACCACAGTGACGCGCTGGATGAGTCACGATGATGCATTCATGACGTCACTGGTGCTATTCATGTGCATATCAATATGACGTCACGCACATGAATAGCGCCGATGGATTCCATGAAACCCAATCCCAGACCTTCATCCGTTTTGTTATGCGCGATACGTGTTGCACCTGAAATGCTTCGAACATCAACGTAACCAGCGCAGCAGAAAACAAACATCTTGCAGACTCTAGCACCCGGAATATGTTCGGGCTGACGAAACCTTGAATTTAGAGACGTAAAAAGAACATGGCGCCAGGCGAAAATTACATGGTTTATTTGCCATCGTCGGCACGTTATCAATGAACAAGAACATTCAACCGCAATGTCACGTCCTGCTGATTATGGCGGCGTTGACACAGACGCGTGCGGCACAGCAGAAGTGCGCAGGGACGTTAGCCTGGAACTAAGTCAAGAGAGCAGGGTGATTAGGCACGGCCCGCGGAGGAATGCAGCCCAGCGCCGCTCTATGGGTGCGTGGCAGCGGAGGCATGGTGCGGACACAGCGGCAGCACCGCTCACAGGTCCTCGTCGTCTTCGGGTAGCGCCGTCTCGGTGGCGACCTTCAGCTCGCTCTCGATCTGCTTCTGCCACTGCGGGTCCATCTGGACTTCCGGCGGCTCCAGTGCAGGCATGGCCACAAACTCGAGGTTCGGGTCACCAATCAGCTTCCTCGCCAGCCATAGGAAAGGCTTTTCGAAGTTGTAGTTGGACTTGGCTGAGATGTCATAGTACTGAAAAGATGCCAACAACCGTCACCGCTGCAGCTCCTATATGACAGGGGAGATCGCACCTTCTGCTTGCTTAAGTCCGTAGGTTCATACATGCTCGATATCAAGAAAGAACAGTCTACACATTGTGGGTGGGACTTGGCTAATATTACAATCGAAATCGTTCGTGGATGCATTGAGTAACCTGTCCATGTACAGAATAACAATTTCATAGGAGGATACCATCGTTTTACTAATTGTTGCCAACAAGCCAACCGAAAGGAAAATCCACAGATCTGGGGACTTTTAAGGCAACCTTCGTGCCATTCCGGGGAGTATTTCATAACTGTTTGTTCACTGAGCGCCGACCGGAATGTTTCGCATCATAGTACACGGCCTGCATGCAATCACCACGGCAAGTTCAGTGTTTTTTTCCCAATAAGCTGGCGTTCGCGAAGATCCAACATCATCTGCCCTCAAGGATGCTGTTCTGTATGTCGCTAGTCAAAACTATGAGCCGTAATGGGTAAGGTGACACAGGTTGCCGTTTCAGATCTGACCGGGGTGCAAGTTACGCTTTGATTATGTAAGCCATCGCAGAGTTGTTAGCTAATAGAGCTCTTTGGCCAGGCAGTTCAATCAGATGATGACTGTTGAAATACTGCTCAGGTGATCAACACTGACCAAAAATGGTTGACGAAAAAAACTTGTCCGCGGGGGAACATCCACAAGTTCGCTTCAGAACAACCAGAAGAATTTTGCAAAGGCACGGAAAACTATCCCTTCAAACACATCTTCGGGCCCAGACTTTGAGTAAGTCGTCCACATGCAACTTATATTGCGCCCATCCACGCCGGACGGCTGGCTTAAGGGGATTACAGAGACAATGGTCTTCTCGTGCTATTTTGTCTCATGTCCTGCCTGCAATTCTGGTCACATGGCAAAGCTCACCTGCAGGTTTCTTCTTGCGATGAAAGACGATGGACTTTGCCTTCACCTTCCTTGTCTTTGATGTCCACCTTGTTGCCACAGAGTACAATGGGAATGTTTTCACACACTCTGACCAGGTCTCTGTGCCAGTTGGGACCATTCTTGTAGGTGGGCTCTTGATGTGACATCAAACATCAGAATGGCACACTGGCCCTGCAAAAAATACATGGGGAATAAAAAAGTGACTTCAGTGAACACCCACATGGGCAGCTTTAGGGGGGGGGGGGGGAGGGGTCACTACAATAACCTCTAAGCAGCACCACACTGTTGAGCTGCAGGCAATTAAAACAGAAAATTTTTTATATGACTATGGCAAATCCAGGAAGGTTGCTAAACTTATGGCATGTCAGTCATGCAAGAGCTCTCAGTGAACATAATGTCTACAGAACCAAGAAATCTAGTGACTAAGTAGCATTAAACCCTACAACTTTGAGATGGTGTCAAAGTTAATTAAAATTAGGATTATAACTAATGTAACAAACCTTGCATCAGGAATCAAAGAGGGATCAAGGTCAAAACAGAGCACCTCATCAATATGAATCCTTGATAAAAGGAGCATCAAAGAGTCTCACTATGACTTATAAGGTTCAGGGGAGGTCACCCACCTAAAATGACCATGGCCAGTCTTTTGCCTTAAAAAACATGCAAACTATCATAGTTAACAACAATTACTTTGCTTCAAATACCAAAATAGCCCTAAGGGTTTTTAGTTGTCATGACATTCTGAAGGTCAAATGAGGTCTAACCTGACATGAACACTTGTGACCTTTTGCCTATCAAAAGCAGCTAGGTTACAGAGAATGTTCCACATTTGAGGATATTGGAGCAATCATCATAATGATGAAATAAGTCACTCACAACCAATGTTTAATTAGGTCTGTTTACCTTGCAACAAATTGGTTTGAGAGTCAGTTAGTGAAATTTGTATCTGGAATCATGCTTACAAAGCCAGTCATGCACAACTGGGTAGTCACAATGTTCTTAGTCTTGATTGCCACATGGCCAATGTAATGGCAGGATTTGAATGTCATTATTACAGTGCCATAGATGCTGGGTCTGCACATGTTTGCAGGCATGTTGCTCAGATACTAGAAAAGTTTGGGTCATAAGGGCAGGGCTGCAACCTGTACTGCACAGTATTCAGGATGGCTATTCCAGTTCAAAACTCCATAAAATGCTGAACACTCCACTTAAAGCTGGTTACATAACATATGAAGGCCACTCAGGCACAGATCGCAAGTTTCACCTAACTTGACTTATTCAACCCAAAGGTCATGATCTGGGAATTCAAAAGTTGACACACATGTTGCAATAGGGCCAAACCTACCTATCCTCCTTGGTTTTTGAGATCTCAGAGGGACAAACAACTCTCCATCCTGCAAAATATGACATATCCTGACCACATCTCATTGAGATGAGCTAAGTAAATTTTAGGGCAGGAATTACTCAGCTGGCTAGCATAAGTTATGTTGAAACAGCTCCTGGTACATGAGGCATGTGTTGACCTGATGCCAAGATCAGGCAACACCACAAAACAGTGTTCCAAGATTCATCCAGTAGGGTGTGCAGAATTTAAATAAAAACTCAGGCTGCCAGGTTAATTTTCGCTCTCTGGCTGCCCTGCACACAATTTCCTGATGCTAATCTTTCGCCCTTTGACCCTAAACCCAGACATCTGACCTACCCAGACCATTTGTCAAGCCTGAGGCACCCAAATGCTGGGTGAACAGCCACAGCCACTCACTTCAAAGCTGATTGGCCAATTTTGACCACGAAACGGGGCAAAAGGCGGTAGGCCACAAGCTGGGGTGTGATAAAATGAAAAATATTGACATCTGTCCCAGCAGCGACCAAGTGTTTGAACAATGCCAGAAAATGCACCGTAGTGAATAGCAATATGAAGAAGCAACAATCCAGAAAGGCTAGTGCTGCCCTCGAGGCCAAATGTACCACATTTGCCTCATCTGTGTCATGGCCATCAAATCTGTGCCAAATCAGCCTGGCTGGCCCTGAGTGAACTGCTTGTGTATGCTTTGAAACCAGAAATCTACCATGCAAATTTATGAACTCTGAGAAAAGTAGCACAAGCATGAAGCATTTTGCCTGCAGCAGCTTAGCACTGCTTGTACTGGACAGGTAAACCAGTCACAAACAACTGCACACCACAAGGCTAGCAAAGCTGATGATGATTTAGGCTTTGGGACACACCAACTACAAAGGACAGCAAAACTGTGAGCCCTTATTGTTCATATTGTGAAATATTTGATGCAATTTTAAATGCTGTGCATTTGGGAACACAAAGCCATGGACAGATGGTAATGCAAAACATTGGACAGTAAATTCCGTGTACTTCTGCCTAATCTCCAATATTGGCACAGGAAAAATTCATAGCCAGCAGTAGATGACACAAATCTGATGGCCAGGAACATCTTGGAGACTTTCTTGTCATCAAATCGCCAGCCTCAGCCCTAAACAGAGAATCTGGCCATTTGGGGCAGAATTAAGCCTGCCCTGAGCATTTGGTTGTCTGATCTGCTACCTTTCGCAGACTGGCACCCAAGTAGTTTACAATCAATCAGCAACCTTAGTCCATCTTTAATTTCATTTTTATAAATTTGATGTTTCCTCCTCCTGTGCCTATCCTTACAAAGCCATCCCCTTGAGGATGCATGATACCAATCTAAAGTAAGCAGCCTGAAAACCCCGCAAAATAATGCTGACTAACACCTCCACAGATTCAGAACATCCCCAGTCAGATGGCAGCACCTTGCTTTACCAGTCCCTTTAGCTTCCAATAATTTGCACTGCTGCCTGTCTAAAATGATAAAAATGTTCTACTCAAACACCTGCAGCAAGCAACCAAACATGGCATGAGCAGCACAAGATCAGTTAGCATAGCAGCTGAGATTGGTGAAAACTAATCAAACATAATATGATGCAGGCATGGCAAAACAATCAAATACAACACCAAAGTACTCATGTTACAGGCACATTTCAAGTTATACACACAATAAATGATGGTTTCTAAAATGATTTTTGGGACTCACAAATGTAAAAATGACAACCCTGTAATCTTGTGGAAAGCCTGTAAATCCAATTTCTAATCTCTAGCAAGGGCCTAATCTGAAATAACAAAATAATGCAAGGATACACCTCCTAGATAACCACTCTTCATGCATTATGGGGTCAGCAACTAACCTGAATATAATAACCATCACGCAGACCACCAAACTTTTCTTGTCCCGCAGTATCCCACACATTAAACCTGATGGCTCCTCTGTTTGTATGGAATACCAAAGGGTGAACTTCCACACCAAGTGTAGCCACATATTTTTTCTCAAACTCTCCAGTCAGGTGACGCTTGACAAATGTGGTTTTGCCAGTGCCACCATCTCCCAAAAGAACACATTTAAATGTGGGCATGTCTGCTGTTTGCGCCATGACTGGTGCGGTATCTGAAAAGAAAGGAAAATTGGTAAACACCAAGTTCCCAAGAGAACAATCCTACTCTGTGCACACAGTACATAGCAATACATCATACAGGAGGGGTGCATCAACACATCTTTACAATTCAGGCCCAGCAATTTTGGCGCCTGGCGCCTTTCACGAAACGTGGGGACGAAATGGCGTCTTTCCGTTTCCCACCCCGCGTGGCCGGCGCAGAAAGTCAGAAGTACAATTCGTCCCGTTCAAAGGTATCTGGTCCCAAAATTTTACCCAGTAATATTATTATTACTTTTAAGAACCCCAAAACCATATCACGTAGTCCATAACATGTCATTTTACGCCGTCACAAGCATTTTAACATACCCGACCCGCGTCTGCCCTTACGGCTCACAATGGCGTTCACCGAGAGAAAGAGTGGCGGCGCATGATCTAAATAATTGAAAGAAAATAAATGGTGGTTCAAAAAATAAGTTTGGCCATGAGCTATTCAAAAAATATTTTCAAGCCAACAATTTTGGAGAACAATTTACTAACACACGAGCACGAAACATTCATAAATTCATTCACCTCTCTATGAAAGGAACTGGCACACTTGTCAGCTCTAGGCTGAATCACGTTGGTGGAATGTTAAGGAGAAATCATTGTACAGCACATGAGTATGAAACATGCGTAAAATACACGACTTCAAGCTGCACCATATATTACCGGGTATTTCAACGCAAAAATACGTCACCATATTTTAATATTACTATTTAGAATATATAACAGCAGACTCAAGCAATCAGAGCCCAGCGGAAACTAGAACTTGATGCATCCTCAGTCTAAACTACTAAAAATTTCAACGCAGATATGCAATATCACTAGACCGGCATCACCCATGTTCAGCTACTATCAGGCGTATGAGCGGGGGCATGCTAAGAGCACGTGTGCATGCATGTCCAACTTGCAGACATGTACCGACCAGTCGATTGCATCGGTAATTTAGCATGTTGCGCAAACGCTCCGGGGGGGGGGGGGGGGGGGGGAAGGGGACGCCGCCCAGCCGCGAGCTGCCCCGAGTCCAATAACGGGCCTCCGGACAGATAACATGCAAAGCCATCCGAATTCGTAACACGTGACGCGTGTGCATGGAGGTTACGCATGTGACTTATTAAAGTCGAACGTACGAAAACAAGTCTCGCTCGCTGAAGCACAATGAAAGGCATGTACAAATGCGCATGATCAATTTTAGCATTTCTGAAAGGGCCTTCGAGGCAGGAATGATCCAATCTCCTCTCACCCGGCTTTATTTAACTCGAGGCGATGGACTGACGACACCGAACAAACTCACACAATGTTGGAAATGTCGTCGAGCGGTCACTGGATTAGGTCTCAGTAGCCTCGTATTTTTAGCAATTCGATGCCAGCGAATGTGACCGAGCTTTATCCTGATGAACAAATAGCTTCCTATGACAGAAAATTATTGCGAAACTTTATTTGTACCGCGCAAGAAGGCTGTTGGGATAGGGGAGGGGACTGTTCCCTCCTTTGCGAGGATACAGAGCGACGCATATCTCTCCTCCCGGACGCCGCTATGTGCACTACATTAAACATACCATTTTATTTTATCTGCACTGCATTTTATCGTTTACTGCAGTCCATCGTCCGTCAACCACGACGACCAATGGTATTTATTTCTTATAACACTGCCCGTCACACATTTCAATTAAAGGGAGTGTTCCATGTTTTCATGGGTGTAGGAACGTTTCAAAGAAATGAGAGAAGGGAGCGGGTCAGGGAACATTTCAAAAACTTTTAGAAGAAACCAAGCCCGGTGACCGGGCAGGAGGGAGGTAGATATGAAGGTTATTGCCCGCTCTTAATTTACATAATACATGTTGAAAAATATGTGTCATGGTTTCTACGCTTGATGTAGTCTACGGCTGTTTCCCACTGGTGCACAGTCTTGTCTATTCGACTCACTTTTGCCATTTGGCAGCTAAGGCAACCCAGCTTTCCGACATTATCCTCCCGTTTGAACATGGTTTTCAGTGTGTGTGAGAGGGGAGGGGGGGAGGGCGAAATTCCACGAGCGGGTAGGCATTTTGGATTACTTGAGGAGGCCTTTGCCTCCACAGGGTAGATGCCAAAATACCACCTGAAGACAGGCTAGTCAGAATTTGGAATGCGATCGATCGTCCATAGTGCGTCAGAGTTTTCATGCACCGAAATTTCGCCGGGTGTTTTTTAAGAGGTAAGATTCATCGCACAATTTAAGGGCTAGGTGCCAAAAGCAAGATGGCAAAAATATAAAACTGGAGTTTCTCCTGTAAAAGACCAAGCCACATAATGAAGGCCCTTCTGTCATATGTTCCTTATCTGAGCCATGCTCCCGTCCGCCGGCGGCGGCCACTGCCCCTACCCGGCTGTCCCCGCATGAATGACTGCGAACTGACAGTATGATTGCTTTACCGCATGTTTATCGATTAGTATTAATGCTTATTGGTGTGTAAAGCATATATTGGACACATGCAACAGCATTCTTTTCGGAATTATCTTCCCTTACACCGCACCACGGCATCAAAGTTTTCGGGAAACTGCCTGCCTTAGCCATGAATTGGTCCAACAAGCATTAAAATGCCTCTCATTCAACGCAGCCGACTTGATCTGCATTTGTATGTAGGCATGGGCGTAGCCATAGCCTTGCCAAAGGGGTAGGCACGGGGTTGACAAAATCTCCCCTGATGGTGCCCCCCCCCCCCAATAAATTGCCAGATGTAGCTTGCATGTTAACAACGGGCACGGTTCTATTCATTTCATTGTTATCTTCACGTTGCTGCCAAAGCAAAAACAGGAACCAGAAGCTGCCGCGGGACCAAATCTGTTTGTATTTCGAAATAAGTAAACTGCAGAAATCAGGCGCTGAACGACTGCATGAAATATATCACCGACTGCTTTTCATTTTACAATGGCTCAGTGGACTCTTTCCAAATGAATAGAACTCAAAGTCTTCGTCAGAAAGCTTTATCCGGATTCTACAGACATATTAAGGACCCCGCAAAGGAAGATCGTAGATAGAAATGGGTCAACAATGCGTATCAACATGATCAAGTCATGTTTGTCAGGAAATATTCAACAATCGGTCAGAATCGATTGGTGACACGAATTATGTCACGTAGTTTTAAACATGCACGCTCTCAAATCTTAGCAACAAAACCTCGACGCTAGGCGTTGCTGTTTCCATTGGTCGCGCGGCATCAGCCCGGCGGCTAACACTGAGCCGTGGCCAACAGGTGGACGAAGATGATGACGCCTCTGAATAAGTACTTCTGAACGCTTTAAGACATCAAATCTTACATTTAGAAGGTAGTTTGGGCGGATATTTCACTGGTGTGATTTTTAGACTGATGACGGGAACGGATTGACCCTTACAGTGTCGCGAAGTAGCGTTGGAATCTGGTGGTGAAACTAGAAGAGTTAAGGTAGTATCTCTGTTTTTCGTGGTGTCTATGGATTACCTAAATAAATGGGTGAATAGGAAAACATTGCATATAGAAAATCTGTATAACAGAAAAAGCAAAAGGCAAAATGCACAATGAAAGCAAAGGGCGTTCAGGGACGCCGGTCGGTGCTGCTCGGTCGGTCAACGAACGCGTCGGCCGCATTTGTGTTGGTGTGGTGTGCGTCTGATGTATCTGGAAAACATGTGATTGGTTACGGTGTGTTAGGTCGGTCACAGTTTTTTATACTGCCTGGCGAGCTGAGGTGCTGTACTACGATTTTGGCTGCCCGGGACGACTGGTGATGCCCTTTTGACCTTGGTCGTAAGTGGTGTCGGGGTGACCCACAGCCGCGCTGCCCGGGACGCCGACACTGGACGCGGAGTGAACGTTATGTCAGACCGCATGTGGCGGCATTCTCCAAGCGCTCGCGGTTCCCGTAATGTTGTTGGGAATAGCGATAAAAGATCGCATGTTTTTTAAAGATATGGCGATGGTAAAAACGTCCTGTTGGCATAATCGTCTGGTTCAGTTCCTGACCATTGATGTTCTTATGTTGCAGAATCCTGATTTTCACTTGCTGCAACGTCCGTCCGTCCAGGTGAAACATACCGTTGAATGATATCGGCGCGAAACATGCTCCGCTATGGGCCCAACTTCGGTGGTTAGCTTTCACATGCGCGGCATGCGAGACCGGCAGAAAGGAAGCGCAGTTTTTCGTCATTTACATGACACATGTCCAAACATGTAGTAATATTGCAAGAAACGCACTGAAATCACGTTATAAAATGAATGGGCCGCGGCAGTTGCGTCAGGTCACGGAACAGCGCATCAGGCCAGGGTGGCGGTTTTGCTTCCTAGACGATTTGGAGGGTCGGTTCAAGGTCAATTTAGCGACGGAGAGGGATGAATGGTTCCGACTCAATGATGGCGGAGATCATTTTGCTATCTTAGCTGTGTATGCACCAACAATTGATACCCAAGAGCAAAAAATTGCATTTTTGGAAAGCCTCCGGCAAGTGCTCGTGCACTTTGCTGAGTTAAATACAATCCTGTGCCAGGTCTTCAATATCCACTTAGGGCCGTACTACGCCCATATGGCATTCTACGCCTATGTAGCCTTATCAAGAAATGAGAAGGCTTGAAGTTTCGAGGGCAAGCAAATGCCTATCTGACATCACTAGCGAGTTTTGTCTTACACCTATATGGAGACAGTTAAACCCCCTCTAAGAGGGAATGCACATGCCGGCAATTAGACCCACCACGGCAATCGCGTATAGATTTTTTGTTTGTTAGCGAAGCACTACACGTGCTTTGACGTACAGGCCAGCATTGAGGTAGCCGTTCGAAGTGATCATGGCGCCATTGTTGCCAATGCCACGCCCGCCACGCGCCGACGGGGCCCAGGCTGTTGAGAATTCACAATGAACTGTTGGTGCACGCGGAGTTTGCAGATTTCACGATTGGGGAAATCATGCGCTCAAGAAATGGCTCTGACTTTTACACCAGCGAAAAGGGAAATTCATGCTGTCATACACAGTCACACACCGGGAAAGTCATACTGTGAAAGTAGAAATGCTGAAAGTATAATTGTTGCTATACGGGCAATAAGAATTCGGCGCGTTGAAATGCATCACTTAAAGAAGGAAAGAAATTAATAAGTACATAAGGTTGCGGTATTACAGAAGCATCAGCAGTCTTGACAAGGAACGTTCCTTTCAAGGAACAGACACGTTCCTTTTGACTAGTAATAAGACAAGTTAATTTCTATGTTATACTGTTAATTATGTGACGTGAATCTTTGCTGAAAAAATTTGTCAAAAGCAAGGGGCTTAGGGGCATTGAAAAACCACTGTGTCACCACTGGTCTGTGACGTCAGCACTGATTAAGTTAAGCTTGCAGTATATTTCTGTCGCCTG